TGTGGAAAACTATCTGCTAGGTCTATAAAACTAGCAACAGTAGCAACTACACTAGCGTAAATTCAGATCAATTCAGTTATGCCATTACAAATGCACACCAGTTTAAAAAGAATCACCATGAGAGGCTTATTTATGTTACAAAAGTGATTACGTCTCATTCAAGATTCTTGTGAGCTGTGGGCAGGCTCCTAATCCTGCAGTTATCAGTCTGGTCCCAGGTGATACACCAGCAGAGGAAATTCGCAGATGGGACTGAAGGTTGTACACAATGTTGTATCTTAATGTAATATATCAAAGTATGTGGAGTGAAAGTTGTTTACAAACATGCTTTATAGGTTACAGAAAGGGAATGGCCTAATTTGTTTGGATGGTGTAAATCCTAGTGTGCTGAACACGGTTTAATACCTGAAAACTTAACAGCGCGTCCATTTACTCCCCTGGTTAAAATAAGCACAAAACTACAGGTTGACTGCAAGCTCAAAACAAGAAGCATGTTAACCACTGTTATCAGTTTTAAATTAACTGGTTTTCCTTGTTATTTAAGAGAATGTTGCATGTCATGAAGGAAACTTGCCTTTATAAAGGCTAATAAAGTTTCTTAAAGGCTGTGTCAAAACCACATATATTTGTAGGGATGTTTATGTTAGCGTTTCAAACCTCACTTGAAAATATTTTAAATTAAAGTGGCACAATGTACCGTTTCAGTATAATTTTAAGAGTAAATGATTACAAGACCTGTTTAATACTATACTGCATACAAAGGCACCCCTCTTTTTAAAGCTCAGGATTTGTAACTCCAGAGCCACCACTAAAGCTATTGCCATTGCTTTTTAAAACATAGAAGTGTTGCGCACAACCTTCTTTCTTTTCAGCACATTTGCTGTCACACCAGCATCAGTTTCCCAATGAGTTTGCAGAAGCATCTGTCTGCAGAACTTGAGCTTACAATCCTGTAATTAACTTGTTCAGAGACTGCGTGTTTAAAACTAACAGCTCTTTACACTGGAGAGGAAGATCTGATTTCCAAGAATAATTGTTATCTTCCTTTTCTTTATTATATTTGTGCTTTAGAAAAATCCATGATTTCTCCTCTACATAACCTCCTCCACTTTTACTGATTGCTGTACACTGCATACTGCAAGTTACACTGCTTGGTTATGGGTTTTGTTGTAAAGCAATAGATGAGGAGCTCAGCATATCTGTATACTCTAAGGTGTCTAAATTCTAAGATTTCTCAGCAATGTCCTGCCTGCACAGACGAAGAGAATCCAGAAGATCTTTACCACATCAATATCATAAGAAATATTCCTCTGAGTCATGAACGACTGCCACATGCAGGGATGAATAATGTGAAGGCTTTGTAGTGTCCCTTGAATTCTGAAGACCTCCCCCAGAAAGGAAACTGCTATCCAGCTGCACATCCCAAAATACTCAGACTACTCCCCCTAGAAGTAGTTCCTACCCTGACAAGATGCCATTTGAACTCAAATCTCTTGGAAAGACTGGGAATTGAGTTCAGATTCCTGTGCCCATTATTTACTCCGACAGATCAAGCATATCAGAGACCTCAAGCTTTAGCCCTAACTGGATAAGCAGAAAGAGGTCTGGGAAACAAATATATGCAAATTTAGGCTCCTGTAGTTGCCTTGTGTAAGTGCTGTGTAGGAAACATTACACAACTCTTTATGGCCATGTTATTTTAAAAGCTTTCATTCCTTTGACCATTCTCTTACTGAAAGTTACTTTGAGTTGTAAAATATGTATTCTAAGGTGAGCTTTTACAGATGAATTAAGCAGCAACTTGTGACAAAGCAGTTATCATCAGGAGATAATTGACCTTATTTGAGAGTTAAGCATCCTGAGGCAAAGTAGAGTGTGCTTAATCCTGGCAGGTTAATTATCCAGTGATTATGGTACCTTGGAAGGTATTATTGCTAAGAACCATTTGCAAAATGACACTATTAAGAAAAAACTTAATTTAATAAAAATTAAAAGCAATGACAATAATCAAGTTCTTCAGTCATGTATCGCTAGATAATGACTGCAGAATGGCCCTAATTGGTTAGCAGCAATGAACACATAATTATTCCTATTCTGAATGTTCTGTACTAAATTCATTAAATGAAGTACAGTTAGTAAGTATCAAAAATCCAAGAGAAGATGTTTGACTAGTTATAAAAGGCATTTAAACAAATGATCAAAACACCAGTGGTCACTGAGATAATGCTGAAACTCATACATGTACTGAGTTGTTATCACAGAGTTCAGTGTCTCCACTGCAGTTAAGGGTATGCTGGCATTTACATTCCCAACTAGAACATTTATTCTGAGAGGCTTATAACTTGCCCATTTTAATTACCATCTGGCTGAAACTTGAAATAACCAATCTTCATTCAGATGTAAATTTTTAAGTAGAAGATGTAATTTAAAATCACTTTGCCAATTGTTTTTAGTTTAGGAATGGCTGCAATTTGGAATTTTGCTGTTTTTCTATTACTCAAAATAGATGGATGTTTTTCTATTACTCAAAAAAACAAAGAGCTCAATGCTTCACAATAAATTTGTATTGGTCTATAATGTGATGATAAATGTAGGGAAGAATAAAGATTGTGTCTAAGAGTATTGTTCATGCTAATAAAGTAACAACCACCCCACTTAGTATGCCTTGCTTATATGTTAACTTATGCATTTTCGGTATTTAACTAAACTAGCAAAACTGATGGAAAACGCAGCAAAAGTTAAAAGGCAATCACAGTAAATCAGCAAAAATTTGGCACTGGCTAGCTGAAGTGGTTCACTGCCCATCGAAGAATACATACACACAAAAAATTCCATAATGGACTAATAGATGAAATGAATACAGGAAGAAAATAAACCCCAAAACCCAATCCCCCCCTAAAAAAAAAACAAACCAAAACAAAACACCTCAGACTCAAAGGAGGAAGCTACTAGAAGGCAGAACATGTCAGAATAAGATCTTCTTGAGTTTTGCAACTACTCTATCGCAAACCACATGCAGAGAGCAGAAATACTGACAATCACAAGCTACAGCAGCTACTAAACCCAAGAAATACACCATGCCAATGCTGGGGTTTAAAGTCACACAGAAAGACAAGAGAATAAACCACTGCAAATAAACCATTGCAAAGAGCATTTCAAGAACTCAAAAGCAGCAATGGCCAGCTTATCTAGCAGAAAGTAGAGACTAAAAAATGACCAGGGTTTTAACTGATTAGTATAAGGAACAAAGCATAGGAGGCTGGTACTCCGAAGTATATATATCAAACTGCCATGTTTCAGGATGATCACTTAAGTTTAAATAGTACTGTTTACCCAGAAAGACACCAAAAAGCTTCAGAAATTATACACAGAAAATGCAGGGAGTCTTTCAACTTCAATACATGCAACAGTCCTATACAATATTTTATGCCAGCAGGTGAATAATAGCACAGCAAACTGAAATGACAGGGGAAGTTAAGGTAGTCTCAATATCATTTCTAAAATTGGAATGTCATCAGTATAACAGACTATTACTTATAAAACGTGCACATATACAAAAAGTAACAACCTCTGGTTTATCTTCTAAAAACAGCACTTAATGAACCACTATAATCCAAATCTGCCTGATAGGTCAGAGGAGCAATATTTATATAGAAGACGAGGAAGGTTTAATCCCAGAAGTTTCTGTGAAGTCCTTGCACCCGAACACTGACTAGACCTGGTATTACTTTAGCTTGTGAAACCTGACAAGACCAGGCTGGTTGGGACTTTGAGCAACCTGGTCTAGTGGAAGGTGTCCCTGCCCATGGCAGGGGGATTGGAACTAGATGATCTTTAAGGTCCCTTCCAACACAAACCATTCTAAGATTATATTTTTGTTGAGATTATACCGCTATTAAATCAAAATATTCAGTAGCATCTTTGCAAGGATGGATTGTGAAAGACAGAATAAAAGTAATAGTTGGCAACAAAATGTCTGAAAAATACTTCTGTATCATTGACTACAGTTAAAAAGGTCTTCCTTATCCTACTGCATCTAAAAAGTCGCCATTTTCTTCATTTTAAAAAGTCCTAGATTTCTAACAACGTTAGCCGTCACTGTGGATATGTGGACTATACCATGAAAACTGACTTGTGTTGGTGAAACTCCCTGTGTGACCATCAGGAATAACTACTGACAGGAATAACTCACTCTTCCATAATTTTCCTGTACTACTGTAGTTATTTTGAGAGACAAGCCCACACTTCATTAGGATGTGTCATACTTTCCAAGGCTTTTTTTTTTTTAACTTTTTTTCTGCTAACCACACAAATAAATATTTAAGAGCACTGAAATGAAAAAAAAAAATCAAAAAGTGATAACACTACAGTGAGTGAAATCTGACTTCATTTGGTCTACTACCATGGACTTCCAGGCAGAATTTCATATAATCTGTTTGCTACCTGTTGCATCGCAAAGGTAAGCCTTCGTTAGATGGACTGCCAGTACATCTACCATAAAATCAATGAGAACCTTCTAAAACTATCAACCATTTCTTAGTTTTCTCCTCCCACTTCACCCCAAAGAGTCTTCTTCCTCACAGAAAATACTATTAAAAGCATAGTATAGGTATGGAAATAAGTTACAGAGCCTCAGCAGCTCTGCAGTAGGCCTTCATATGTTTTCTTCCAGCCGAGTTAACTTTGGGGTGACTGTATCATGCACATGGACAGTTACTACAAAGCAGCCAATGTGCTGGATATTTCCTCTTCTAACCTAGAGTAACTTGCTCATGTGTCTCATGAATGAGGAAGTTGCAAGCCCCTAACAGGTCAAGTGACATCTTTGGCTTCTACTGAAATACCACAGTCCTATGACCATGGATTTAATTTTCTAGTGACACTTGAAATGGTCAGTCTCTCTCTCTCTCTCTAAATAACAGAGAACCACGAAGCAGGCTCCTAGACACAAACAGCTAGATACAAGAGAGAAATGCTTCAATTACTTTTGTAAGACTCACCGTTTCATTTCCAAAAAGGACATCAACATAAGGCATGACTTTCATCATAGGCTCCTTGTAGAACTGGCTAATAAATGGTGCAGAAAGATTCAAGCTGAAGATCTTGTTGTTTGCAGAAGCCTGAGCAGCCACTTTTAATACTGCCTCTGGTGACACCGTCAGGAAGAATCCCTGCAAGCATCCAAACAAATCAATGTATGTTACTAATTTCATATTAGGAACCATGTGAAGTATGCTGCTTCTAGAAGGTCTCCCCTGACCCACCTTTGTCATACCTATACCCTGATAAAAACTTCTGGAAATACTTCCTTTCCATTAAGGTATTATGGAGGCAACAAAGAACCTGGGTAGAATCAGAGCCTTCCGAAATGAAACATTACTCCCTACCTCTGCATTCCATGTAGTACACCTTCTCATGGCAGCTAAGACTAATGCTTGTATTTTAAAAAGTGATATATTATAATGCTAAATGCCCCTTTTTAGTAATAGAGTCAATCAGACTGTGCTGCTTAATTCCGAAGTCCAGTATGATGGCTTTATACACAGTTAGGAAATTAACAAAATCCCTTGCCTGAAAAATTATTACCTTGTTTATAATAAATATTTTGAGTACGCTGTCATTGTTTTGCAGGAAAACCCTAGGTTTTCCAAGTTTCTGCACAGGTATTTTATCATCCACCTCCCTCCCCCAAAGTATTATTCTTTATTCTGAATATGAACATTCAAGTATCAATTGTGAAACAAAATAAACAGAACTTAACCAGAAATAATTATTTGTCTACTAAATTGTGAATGCCAATTTCAACCCTGTATAAAGAACACTCGAAGGCTGCCATTTTGAAGTTAGCATTGCAGATGGTTACTTTAACAGCACATGTTCCAGGAGTTATGTAAAGATCCCCCACAGTTTCATTAATCCACTAATTAGACAAATGCTTAGTCTTTACCCTAAACAAATTTTGTATGTTTCATTTTTATAATCCCAAAACAATTATACTAACTGTTCTCAAAACTCAGTGAATAATAGTAATTTTCAAGCAAGAGCAGCAAGTGTCAAATTTAAGGCCAGAGACAATGTCTAAGTCACAGTAACAAACAGCTTTGAGGGGGGGTCTGATAAATAGAACATCCTCTCAGTTCTATCTGTAACATCACCACCATGACATTCTAAAAGGTATAGTAGTGAAATAGTCTTATTTTCCATTTTTTATCCATATTGTTATGTCTTTGGATCACAGAATATCTGTATTTTTATCCTGCATACTTCAGCTAACAGATCATCTTAGCATTCTACTCACTGGAAAAAATATTATAATGAAGAGTCTACAGATTAAAGACTACTTAGAAAGTACTTCTATTTATCTTTGCTTACTTCATGCTCTCTAGTCTAACAAATACATGATTGATTTAAAAATTGGAGTATGATTCGCTACATGACAATAAAAGTCCAAAGGGCACAAGTATGCTTTGCATCTTGTGGAATTACTCAGTACCTTGAACGACTGGAAGCCTGTAAACATCCAGGCTTCTTTGCTATTTTTACATTCTGAAGAATTAAAAGAACAGTTTATATAACATCTCGTCTCCATAGCAATCTGCATCATCTCTTAGTTTTTCATTTAATGAACAGAGTTGGATTTTTAAAAAACTGTTCCAAACAGAAAATAAAAACCTTTCAAGCCTAGCACGTTGCCAGCTGTGGATAAATCACAGATTGCTATACAGTGGTCTGCGTAAATAGTAACCTGGTCAAATAATTAGGCTTCTTACCATTTTTAGGCTGAAAACTTCATCTGAACTAAACCACATCTGATTGTAATTTAAGGTACAGAACACTATCCTCATGAGACGTAACTCAGGCCTGTATCCAACTCCCTTTTCTTTGGAAAGGCAACATAAAAGTACTGAGATGCAGATAGGAGAGCTTGCTTTTCAGATCCTGCGAAGTAAAGGCCAGGAACTCTCAAAGGCTACAGCTCTGTCTTCTGGGTTTCCTAAAAATCACTTCTGCCATTTAATTGCTTTCTTCCAAGACTTTTATTTAAACAACTATTTGACATTAAAACATCTAGAAATTAAGAGCTGTGTGTATGAGAACTCTTCGCCAAGTATAACAAGAAAAAAAAGTTGTAGCAATAATAAAAAAAAAGTTACAGTAGTACAATTCACACAGTGGAATTAATGAAGAAGGAAGAAAAAGTATAAAATTGAGCTGAACAGATTTGGGTTTGAAGAAATCTAATTAGAATCCCCTCCTTAAGTATTTAAATTGGTTTGTTCTATTTTAGTGACATTCCAATTACAGCTATGGCCAGTATAGTTTCAAGAACCCAGCTTCCTAAGTTTGAATTGTAACTAGGTAAGTCACAGACCATGCTACTGCAGTGTGCTACAATTTGGTACAGGAATGAACTCCACTAAAGAAAATAGGTTTTCTTGTATTTCACTGGGATTCGCAACAAAGCCACTCCATGGCTTCCTCATAATCACAGTCCACATGTTCGGCGGTTGCCACTGCTTTTGGTCCAGACACATGTATATAAAGGAGTGCCTCTGTCAACCACTCCTACCTACTCTAACAATTAACTGTTAGCCAACATTAGCTTTGGGTGTGAGAATAGGCGTTTCTCAGTATCACTGGTATAAAGGAGTTTGTATTTCACTAGTAAGAAGCTGTATTCCCACTAACAAGAAGGTTAAGAGGCCCTTCAGAGATATTCTATACTCACCTACAGACCTCAGTCTACTTCTGAGAGTTTTGGGAACCTTTTTACCCTCAAAACCCAAAGATGCCTTAAAAAATTATAAGGAAAATCTCTGTAATCAAAGGATGAGACTGTTAACATACATAAATTCCAATAGCCGGGGAAACTTACGTTGTGTATGAAATGAAATCATTGTGCACGAATCTATCTTTGTGAATGTTGTACATACAAGGACATATAATAATTGGACAGCGCAGTCAAAGAAAGCAAAAGGCAGCAATATTGTACTAAGGAAACCTATTAAACATTAAAGGCTATCAGACATACTACCAGCATGCAGTATTCCTTTGGCTTGCACTGATTGAGACCGAGTATACCAGATGCTACTGCTTTGTGATGTGCTGCTATTTTCTGCTGCTCAAAACATAATGAGCCCCTTTTCTATGCCAGGTGGAAGGTACCATTGTACCACAAACCAGAAAGCAAGGCTCAGCTAATACACACACAAGGAAAACAGGATGATAAGACTGAATTATTTATATGCATACTTGTGCATATATACCTGCATAACACAACAATAGTTTTCTTATGTACTATAAGCAGTCCTTCTGTTTAAAACCAGTCCTTTGGTGTAGAAAAAACATTTTTCTCATGGGAGAAAGAGAATCAAAACTGAAGAAACAACAAAAATACATTGGTATATTGCAAACACATGGATATGAGTGATACAGTAGCTTGTTTGTAACTTAAGAGCGTTTAAAATTCAGTATTAAGATGCACATGACAGCAGTAGGCAAAGTCAGGAGAGAGTATCATATTAATCTCACTTTTACAATATTCAGGAATTCATTGATGCACCTCTTAAAATATACCAGGGTACTGTGAATGTAGGATGTAGTCTTTTACATTCAAGTCTTTTTTTTTTTTTACAGACACTAGCATTACCAGGATTTGTTGGGTTTCCACAGAAGCAATTAGTCTTTACAAGTCATCTCTCTCATTTTTATCATATGCAGACCCAAAAGTTTTTTTCTGAGCTACACTAAGTTTATACAGCTCTAGCTCTAGCAGACGTGAGGGTAGCAAATTACAGTGTCAAGTGTCAGCACAGAATCAGTGTCGCAGGACCACATGAAGCCAGAACTCTGGCTTTGGTGAAAGTATTTCTGTTTAAGGTGTTCTGTTCAAACTGAGAAGTCTTGCCATCATTTGTTCACATGAAATAACATACCTGCATTGAATTCATCTGTATTACATACATACAGTATTTGCACAATGACGACCAAGATTATTTATTTTTTCTAAGCCAGTGAGTATTTCCGTAAAGCCAAATCTGAAATGTGTGACCCCATGTACATGTGGACAAATCCAGCCCGAGAGGATAACAACCAACTTCAGAATTTTGGATTTATTATCGCTTAACAGCACAGAGCTATGTTTGAATAAGAACAGACAGTGATAATAAAAATTAGGATTGTTTTCAAAACTACTACCCACTAAAGTGCATTTGCCTGCTCTTCTTCCTAGCTCTTCCTCTTTCCTTGCCACTCCCACTTGCAGAGCAGTTTACATGAAAATAACTTTATCATGTGAGTGACAGGATTTTGAACCATGGTGTTCTGAGCTGTTTTTGAAATGCCATTTGGTAACAATGTAAAACCAATAAATTGCAAATGTGAATCAAAATATTTAACTTTCAGCAACACATACACAACAGTCTGCTGCCATTTAAGACAAATTATATTATGCCAACATGAAAGGAACACACCGTTTAATCCACAATTATTTTACAGCAAGCATTTACATAAAAATGCAATTATGACATCACACTTTCATCCATCTAAAGGATGGAATTTTTCAGGCACATAGAAAGTTTGACAGTTACGTAGTGACAGTCCTGATAAATACTGTGATTCAGTACAAGCCTATGGAAATCTTCAAGTATGCTGGCAGTTCCAGTGAAAGAGTGAGACTGCTAAGGTGCCAAAAGAACTTGCTCTGTTAAATGACAGACATAACCAGCTCAGAGCTTTTGGACCTGCTTTAAGTTTCCTATATTCTGTACACAAAGAGAACTTCAAGCCACACACTTGGGCAGAAGAGACTTCCTGCAGTTCTGCTCTGCCATCAGTCTCATCTGCTGCAGTCTAGCAGAAATAACAGGGCTTGGATGAAGCTGCAACACATGGCAATTCTTGGGATGGAGAATGAACCAATAGGTAACTGTTCCAGACAGAACTTTCACAAGGCTTCCAGGTGCCCTCACAAACAGAAGACACTGAAAGACTTCTGTCTTCTAGCCTCTGAACTGCACAGAGCACAGATTGGGTGCAGTCCATGTCCCACCCACTGTGAGACAAGGCAATGAAATCATCTTCCTTTGGAATAGGAACCAGAAGGAATCTTCCTGGAATGCTGGAGCAGAAGCTCTTCATCTGCCTTAGTACTTATGTGAGTTAAAAAGAA